CACGTAGAGAATTAGTTCATATTTACAAAATCATATATGGTAAGGATACTTTAAAAATACGAAACATTTTTTTCTGATATATATTTAATAAAAATGTAAAAAACATCAAACAACAGATAAATGTGAATTCTCCTTTCATATTCTTTAGAGATAACTTTTGTTGACAACTTGGTATATATTCTTTTAGTCTTTTAGTCTATATTTATATTGATATTTATATAATTTAAAAAATATGTTGGTTACTATCTTGTAACCAACTCTCTTCACATACTTTGGGATCTCTTTTGCATATATATATATATATATATATATATATATATATATATATCTACTTTACCTGTTAAGTTTTATTTATTGATTAATTTGTGATTAGATTATACATGCAAAGATACAAAGTTTCAAAGACCATAAATAAAATGGTAAACACTGAAAAGGACACCTTCCCCTACCCTTGTTCTCCTGCCTCACAGTTCCTCTTTCCAGAGGTAGTCACTGCTATCAATTTCATGTATACCTTTCCAGAGCAAATACAAATGGCATCTGTCTCTTCAGTATGCCAACAAGTTGTAATATCCCCCAGCATGAAGGAGAAGGACCTCTTCCTTGACTTGTATATTCCTTTCCAGCTACCACCCAATTTCCTTGCTCCTCTTATGACACTAATCCTTGAAAAATTGTCTCCAATTACCATTTCTAATTCCTCTTTTCCTACCCTCTGATGATCTCACTGTGTTCTCAGTTTTCATCCCATATTTAAGAATTCATTTTTATGGGTGCTATGCAGGCCTGGCCCCATCATTCCAACTTGGAACATTTTGAAGGGCCATCCCAGTTTCAGATTTCCCTATGGGTGAACTGGTATGTTAGTTGAGACTGCATTACAACCCAACTTTCCCCAACCCTGCTTGCTTCTGTCCTTCCCCTCCTTTAGCAGGGCATCCTAAGAGCACTCCCTAATAAACTTCCTGCATACTAATCTCCATTTTAGAGTCTGCTTCCCAGGAAACCAACCTTCAACATCCTCTGATGGTTTCCAATCTCAGAATAAAAGCCTAAAGTCCTTGTAATAGCTCTATGTGGTCTGTCCCTCTCTTCGCACTGCCAGCCTTTCTGGCTGCATCCCCTACATTCTCCTTTGTTCAGCTGTTTACCCATTCCCTAAATATACTGAGCCTACTCCTATTCCTGAATATATGCACTTTATCTCCTGACTTCCTGGGATACACTTTCCCCAGACATCCTCCTGTCTTAACCCTCATTTCCTTTAGGTCTCTATTCAGATATCACCATGTCAGAGAATCTTTTCTGAGGACTCCATATAAAGCAGCATCCTTACTACTGCCCTAGGGCTCTCTATTCCTCTATTCTGCTTTTCTTTTACTTCAGAGCACTTAACTCTGACATATACTATATTTTATTTACTACTGTCTATCTTTTCCTGTTTTGTTCTCTGCTATATTCCACGGGCCTAGAAAAGTGGTTGGCCCTAGCACTCTGGGAGGCCGAGGCAGGCAGATTGCTCAAGGTCAGGAGTTCAAAACCAGCTTGAACAAGAGTGAGACCCCGTCTCTGCTATAAATAGAAAGAAATTAATTTGGCAAACTAAAAATATATAGAAAAAATTAGCCGGGCATGGTGGCGCATGCCTGTAGTCCCAGCTACTTGGGAAGCTGAGACAGGAGGATTGCTTGAACCCAGGAGTTTGAGGTTGCTGTGAGCTAGGCTGACGCCATGGTACTTACTCTAGCCTGGGCAACAAAATGAGACTCTGTCTCAAAAAAAAAAAAAAAGTGGTTGGCACAGAAAATATGTTCAAGTAATATTTATGAATGAATGAATTATTTCTTTTTCATGTAAATGTTGCATCTTTTACATAAATATATTGCATGTTAGGTTTTTTCCATCTAACAATACATCTCAGAAAACATCCCAAATCAGAATATAAAAAGATGTCTTATTCTTTTTAATAACTGCATAATTTTTTACTACATGTATAAACACAATTTAATCAGTTTTCTCTTAATGGATGTTTATGTTATTTCCATTGCTACAGTGAATAACTTTGTAATGTCATCTTCTATTATATGAGTATATCTATAGGCAAAAAATTTCTAGAATTGTAATTTGCTCGGTCAAAGGGTACATACAAATAATTGTCTATATTTATAAAACTTGTAATGGTAATTTTGATAAATACCTACAAACTGTTTTCCATAAATCTTGTACTAATTTATATTCTCTTCCAGTAAGATATGAACATGCTTCCTTCAACACATCCTCACCAGTTTTTGATATTGCTAGTCTGATGGGTGAAATGTGGTATTTCAATGTGGTTTTAATTTTTAATTAGAGTGAGGTTGCATATCTTTTCATATATTTAAAAGACAGTTATATTCCCTTTTGCATAATCTTTATATTAATACCTTGTCCATAAACCTTGTTATGTTGTTGTTGTTTTACTTGTTGATTTATAGACAATAATGTAAATATCTGCAAATACTTTTCTTAATTTTTCATTTTTCTCTTAATTTTATTGCATTTTATATTTCAGATAGGAATATAAAATTTTTCTGTAGTAGAGTTTATCAATTTTTTTTCTCTTATAAGTTTTGTGACTTTATAGCTTATTTTTCCTCTTAAATTTTATAATCAGCTTGTCTAGTACCAAATAAAATTTTGTTGGCATATTTATTAGGATTATGCCACATTTACAGTTGAATTTAGGAAGAATCTTGAGTCTTTTCATCTGGAACATAGTATTCTTTATTCTTTATATGTTCAAGTCTTCCTTTATTCCTATCAGTATATATTTACTTTTTCATGATTTTAAATTGCTATGTATGTGTATATATAATGTCTTTTAATTAGAAAAACTTTAAAGCAACCATCTAACCTACAGCTACCTAGATTAAAAGACAAATAGAACTTTGCCAGTAACACAGAAACACCCCAAATGTCTTACCTCTCTGGATTGCCATTCTCTGCAGGATCTTAGGCTCTCAAATCCCTGCTGACTTAGTAACTCCCTGATGTCTTCAGACTGATTCTTGTTTGTCTAGCTTATCTAGTTTCTCTCAGTGAAGTGGTTGGTCTGCTTAAGCTAGTCTACTAAGACCAGAAGTAGAAATCAAGAAATAATATAAAATGGCAATTTAAGATACTGTTAAGGTATAGTAGTATTAGGTGGGAATAGTAATTATAATTTTATGTGCACCCCTCTAAAAGAAACAAAGGTAGCATAGGCTACCACAAAATGGCTACCAAGAAAGCCATTTAGTATCCCAAGGTCTGTGAAGGTGATCTGGCTGTGGCAGCTATCACTCCACCAATTTCAGGTTAATTCTCATCATTGCAGAAGCTACATGGGATCTACTTTCTTCCTAAATGCTTCATGTGCATCCCACCATATGCTTCCTCCTGGATTATTCAGTTATCCATGTCAGGAAATGAGGAGTTACTCATCCTTAGCTTCTCTGCATGTTGACCCACTATATCCAATTGATCACCAAATAATTCTGTTCTATCTCCTTAAAGTTTCTATAATTTGTTTAGTCCTTTCCATCCCTGCTGCCTTTGCTTAGAGTTATCATCATCCTTTGTCTGAGTTATTAAAATACTCCTATGCTTACTCTCCTGTTGAAACAAGGAAAGATGCCTCTAAAATACAGATTTCACTCAAACTTTTAGTATTGTGCTTAAAATCCAACAATGAATCTCTATAACCCATAGGATAAAATTATGTATGTTATACATCCCCTTCCCTGTAGTAAATGGTAAAGGCAGGCAATATGTGATGGAAGATACTCAGAGACTTCTTTCCTTCTTCAGGGGCTGCCCCTTTCTAGCATATGACTGGAACAAATGACAACCTCTCTGGACCTTGGTTTCTTTCTCTACAATAAGAGGAAATTGAACCAGAAGATTTCCAGCTTCCAATGACTTTGTGATTCTGAATCATTGCCTTAAAATGTATTATGTGTACTTTTAAAAATGAAGGTTATGTTTATATAAAGATATTAGGTTGTAAATATTATATAGAGAGTAATATCAAACATCAGTTATGTAATGTTTATGTAGCAACAATTGATTTTATCTGCACATATTTCATGATTCAAATGGCAATCTAAATCAAGACTTATCTGAACTGTTTTAATTGAAGTTCTTTACTGCTAAAAGGCCCATAGAAGCTGTTCAGGATAAGATACATGCAAGCAATGATCCTAGGCATCCCTTCCTCTGGGCTGGCCTGAACTTTGCAGGGTTATTTTATTCTCCAGTCCTATCTCTTGCCTTTCTGCTCATTCCCACTCTTGCATGTTAGTCTTTTCTCAAGCTGAGGTGTTGAGGTGTTTTCAGCTCCCTCAGAAAAAGTGCCTGATACTAACCTTTCAGGTCTTCTCATGTGACTCTTTTCTTCCTAGAATGCTTTCTCCCCTAGCCCATGTCTGGCTCTCTTTTACTTGTTCTTTAGAACTCAGCTGTTGCTTTACCTCCTCTAACTGGCTTCTCTGTCTTATTCTGAGTTAGGTGCCCCTCCTCCTTTTCCTGTTCTCATGACACCGTCTGCCCTGTGCTTTTCAAACTACATTGTAACTTTTTACTTATCTGTTTCTCTAGATTCTAGATTCCTTGAGGACAGAGATTTTGTTCTTCTCATTTTTAAAATTCTGAGAGCTGTGCACAGAGCCTAAAATATAATGGATATTGAACAATTATATTTAAATTAATGAATATGTTTCACAATGAGAGCTATTAAAGAAATAGATTTCCTTTGTAGGTATCTTAGAAGAATCCTCCTTCTTGTTAACTTTGTCAAATGCCTCTATTTGGATACTATATACATATATATATATACATATATATAATCTGGATACTATATATATAGTATATATATATATATATATATACACACACACACACAGAGAAACACACATAAACTTTTGGTATGTAGTAGATTCATGGAAAATTATGTTTGGATGTTTTTAAAATTCTCTTAGAAATATGTAAATTTTCAAATAGCATAGCTTTCCAGACTGATGTTAATACTTGGTTCTGGTCAGAAAATCTCATCTTGATTTTGTCATCTTTCTTCTTTTGTGCTGGCAAGAGCTGACAGCTATTTAAATGAGAATTAAAAATAGGATCCTGTGAAGTACATGTTCCTTTTCTTTCCTGCCAGGATATAACTGACCACAGAACTGGGGTATCTCTCTTTCTCTCTCGCTTGAAAAAAATTACCACAAGCTATGCTATCAAATATGGATAAAAGCCAGTGATGAAAAATATAACTAAGAGATATGCCAGTGGTCCAAATACTTTCACTACCCTAATAGAACATATGTTTTTTTCTTATTCTTGAAAGATTTTGAAGGCTAAAATGCCACTAGTTTATGTAAAACTGGTGGTGTTTTCACATAACAATGAAATGCCATCATTGTAATCTGTGATTAATCCACATTGTGAGTTGGCTTTGGCTGCTGGGCCCTTTCTGTATTATTATCACAAATGGAAGAACCTCAGCTTATGGAAAGTGGGAGCTGGGATGGTGGAGAAAAAGGGTAATTGTATGACAGACAGGGGATTGTGTGAAAAAGCCTTTTGGCTGGGGGAAGATAGATTCTTATTTATCACTGGAACTGACTAGAGCAAGCCTAGCTTGGGATTGGAGCTGGGAATGGGCTCTAAAGCATACTCTTACTAAAGATTTGACATGTGGTTGGTTCATTTGTTTGCTCCTTCATCAGATATTCATTGAGTTTTATAATGTGTTTTATAATGAAGTCTACATGACATCCATTGTGTCACCTCAGAGCTGCTGGTCATGCTGAACTAATAATATATCAGGAAAGTAGAAGTCATGTGGGGGTAGCTTGTCAAATTCAGAAGGAGGCCATGTATGCTCCATTAGTTCTATAACATTCCAGAATTCATTCATTCAGCAAACATTCATTGACACTTGCTAAGGGCCCAGTGCTGTTTTAAAACAGCTCTGCAGAGATGAACCTGACACAGCAACTGACAACTAGAGTTCCCAGTTTGGGGAGTGAGGAAGGAGGTAGAAGAGACCATTAAGATGTCAAGCAGAGGCAGAGCCTGGGAGCGCTGAGGAGGGAGCATTAAGCCAGGCAAGAAGAGTCATGAGGCTTCCAAAGGAAGTGACCACTGAGCTGACTGTCAAGAAATTGAGAGAGTGGTAGCCAATGAAGGAGAAGGGACTTTCAGACTTTATTCATTTTGGTGCTCTCTCTTTTGGGAGTCCATGGCTAACCGTAGCTAACAGATATTAGTCACCCTTTTATTTAAACTTCTCTGACAATGAGGTTTGACTGATTTCTTTCTGTAAGTAGTTTTCAGCAAATCTCCAACCCAGGAAATTCTTCCCTATATTGAACTTATGTCTGCCCTCTCCTGAGAATTCAAATTCTCTCCTGGCATTCTGACTTTTGTGGAAACCATGAGTTGGGAGTTGATGAGGAAGTTGGAAGGTTTGTGAATTTATTTCATGTTGCTTCTGGAGTCCAAATGCTCAGCACTGGCATGGAGGAACTTACTGGTAAGCAGGTACTATGCAGTTTCCTTCCATTGTTAATTTTTTTGGTTATTTCTCTTCTGAGATATGTGTCTACAAAGCAATCATATTAGCCAGTAGGTGGAGTACTTTATTAGAAATAGCATGCTTTAGTAGTATGTGTCAAATTGTAGAGGAAAACAAAGTTTCATAATTATGAAAAATGTTTAGAGTATTTTTGTATTTATAGCTTTCTCTATGAGATCCTAGAAGGGAATGAATAATCTTTTTTGGGAGGGGGATGAATAATCTTGATGAGATTCTGGGCAGTTAATTTACTTTTACTGGGACTTTTTGTGGAATGAGGCACCATGTGTCTGGATACTGCCAGTCAGAATTTAAAATTGTTTTATAAAACAGCTGTCCAAGTCACTTGCATGCCTCTCTTGAAAGCTACACTTTCTGGCAATCTGTATCTCTAACAAAGCTGTAACTGCTCTGTGCTTATTCATGATGGGTCTAAGCTCTCTGTGGGTATTTAAAGATATGTGTATAATTTGATTTTTTCCTTAGCTAAAGTAAAAGCCCAGGTAGTGGGGTGTTGAGAAAACACTGCACACAGATTATAAGTGTCACATATGAGCTTTCTATTATAACCAAGCGACTGACACATTAGACACCCCTTTGCCATCAGTTTACATTCTCTGAGAACTTAGGTCAGTGCCTTAAAATAACCCTGCTAATTGTGAGGGGCACATGTGGAATGAAATTCCAGTTAGCAGTCCGGGAGCCGAGTGACTGAGGATTTGAAACCTTACTATAGTTACAGTTCACAACAAGCCTCTAGGCAGTTAGGCCCTCAGGTATGGAAAGAAAGTCTTATGTTGTGTTTTAGGTTCTCTGTTTGTAAAACTGGTTAACTAACCTGTGACAGCTGGTTAAAAACCAAATCGACTTGAGTTACAAGATCTGAACTTTCTCTGCTCTGCTTGCAACCTCTTGGTTGGTGGTGGAGTAACTGACAGAAACGAATGGCTTGGTTGAGGGACATGAAATTGCAGCAGCCTGTTTAGGACCCCACTACGTTTTGGAACTCTTCGTGCTGTGCAGTTCAGGTAGGCTGTTGTTTGTGTGGAATGCTTTGTAAGACTGACAGAGGTCATTAAACTGTTCAGTTCCAGAGTTGGGCATGAGATTCTTAACCACGTCTGCTGCACACAGCTTGCCTGTATCCGTGGGCACTATGTTTCACTCCCTAGCTAGACGATATGCCAAATGAAAATCTTCATATTGTTGTTACTCAAGTGTACTTAGATTCTAGGATGTTAGGGAGACTGAGGGAGTTCATACAAATGTGATTTATCTGGCATGTAGTAAAATGTCATTTTAAAATTTACCTTCCTATTTTCTGTTTTATTGTCCTTATTCTAGTTTCAAAAGGCAGGCTTTTATATTTGTGAGAAACAGTGGGAGAAATTGTTAAGCCTCGTAGTGTATTCCAGAACATATGGTTTTCATATATTTTTAAATTGCTTAATAGGATCTGAGTTTTATTTTCAGACTAAAATGAAAATCACACTACTCTTGTCCAAATAACCTCACTTAAACTACTGTCTGTACCCATATCAGTGTAATCAACATAAAATGTGGCAGTATTGTTGCTTTTTTTACTCCAGTGTTGACCTGCATTGTAAAGTATCAAATTTAGTTTTGGTTTCCAAGTATCTGACACATAAAGTAAGTATGTAAATGCTTTAAATGATGCTTTGAAACTTCCACTTGAGTGGGTTATTTAATCTAGTGTTTATTCAAACTTATATGTTATATCATATGACAGACCTATTCCTGAAACATACATGTAAATAGAATTTTGTAATTGGAATGATTTAAGACACACTTGGAAACCTGATCACTTTTAAGGAATTCATGTATAAAATGAATGGGAAGTCACAACTTAATTTATGCTTTGATGGTTCTTTTTTACATGTCATCTTCTTAAATTGAGATTCACTGATGTTGCATAACTTTGGATAAATTTCTTAGGAACAAAAACTGCCTTTTCATTATTACAGAATATATATACACACACATACATGTACATGTTTATGTATATTATATGATCACATGAAGCCTCTGGGTGTCCCTAGAAAGATGTGTGTGGTGGTATTTGGGAGTGGCCTATTAGATATATTGGATATTAAATTGTGCCTTTGATGAGGAAGGTCATGACAAGGGTCATGGTTTGAGAACTGAGATGTAAGAGATTAAAAAAAAGTTGAAGAGAATATTATCCTACAGTTTGTACATTAACGTCAATTTAATAAACTTGAAAAGTTACAATATTATTGCTTTTCTAACATTGTATCTTTTGCAGTCTCTAGTTATTAGCTTGAACAATATGAAATTGCCAATATTTGACAGTTCTGGACCTATAAAAATGGCAATCTTGTATAGCTCAAACTGGTTGTTTAATGAACATTAACTCATATGAATGAAGGGTTAGCCTTAAGCTACCTACAATAGTAGTAAGAGTTAAATATTCTCATAATTAAAATATAAGAGTTATCTAGTTAAAAACTGGATTATCAAGGGTTACTTCCTATGAATAAATCCAGTATGTATGTGCTATTCATTCTTCTAATTCTTAATTTATTTGTTTGGTCTTTTAAAAAGAACTTGCTGTTTCTGCCAAGTGCTGCCCACAGTGTTTATCAGATCCTGTGACTGTGGGCATACATCCTCAATGGCTGAGAGTTGATATTTACCAGGGTTTGGGATATCTTTGAGGAAGTTCATCCTCTGGATAGCTTGCCCATGATCAAATGTATGTCATAGTTTTAGGGTTTCTCTATGTGTACCATCTTAGTGTTCTTCTTTTTCTAATTTCCTGTGGTGAAATCTGAAGCCACTGATTTGAGACATTTCTTCATTTTTTTATAGATGTTCAGTGCTATAAATTTTCTCTTGAGTACTGCTTTTATCAGCAGTGTAAGAATTTTATATGTTGTATGTTTATTTTGATTAGTTTAAAAGTGCTTTCTCATTTATCTTTTGACTTTTTGACTCATAGATTATTTAGAAATATATTATTTGTTTTCTAAATATTTGGGGATTTTCCAGATGTCTTTCTGTAATTCCATTGTGGTCAGAGAGTATGGTTTTATAAGTTGAATCTTTTAAAAGTTATTGAGACATACTTTATGATCATGCTCTGTCTTGGTAAATGTTCCATGGGCACTTGAAATGAATGTGTGATGTGGTGTTATTTGGGAGAGTCAATTGACTCTCCTAATTGATTAAAATATAAATTAGGTCCAGTTGGTTGTTAGTGTTGTTCAAATCTTATCTTTATGTCTTTATTGATTTTATATATATTTTTCCTATCAATTATTGAGAGAAAGGTATTGAAATCTCCAATTGCAATTGTGAATTTTCCCATTCCTCTTTGAAGTTCTATCAGCTTTTGTTTTATGTATTTGAAGCTCTCTCATTAGGTACGTTAATGTTTAGAATTGTTATGCCACCTGTTATCCCTTTATCATTATGAAATGATGCTTTTTATCCCTGGTAATAGTATTTTCTCTGAAATTTACTTTTTCTGATCTTAATATAACCATTTCAGCTTTCTTTTGAAGGCTTTTCTCTTTTAGGGAGTTTCAATCTAGGGTATTATGCAAAAATAAATTATCCAACTATTTTATTTATTAATACCGTGTTTCCCCCAAAATAAGACAGGGTCTTATATTTATTTTTCTTCAAGAAGACACCCTAGGGCTTATTTTCAGGGGATGTATTATTTTTTTTAAGTATGGTACAACTATCTACATTTATTCAAATATAGTTAAGTTGTCATCTTCTGGAACATCATCATAACTCTCCAAACCCCGAATTCTATCCTGAATTTCTTGCAACTCTATCTCCTTTAGAACCATAGGAGCAACAGAGCTCCATGTGGAGCAATAGAGCTCTCATGGGGCAGATGAGAAGGGCTACTCGGCTTGTTTACTGCTCCACGACAAAATGCATATGTTGTGCATATAGGCTGCGTAGCCACGCCCATCACTAGGTCTTATTTTCGGGGTAGGGCTTATATTGCACAAATACTTAGAAATTCTGCTAGAGCTTATTTTATAGGTAGGTCTTATTTTCCGGGAAACATGGTATACTTATTTGATTAATCATAGTATAAGTATAATTCACTGATAGCTTTCAGATGTCCTTCTACAATTTCATTTTTACAGTGTTAAGCTTTTATAGCCCTTCTTCTTCCACTGACATGTAATTGTCATTTTACAGTAAGAAAATTTCCTTTTATATAATGCATGATATTTATATATTTAACATTTAGTATGAAATGAGCACTGATCAGTCAGAATGGCTGCCAGATATAAACAACAGGTAGAGTGTCATTGGTCATGCTAGCTGAATATCAGTCCTGAATATATAATAATTGTCATACCCTGAGTTACATGTAGGAATAATTTTTCCAGTAATTCATATAAAGCTCTAGCTTTTGTAGGTACCTTTTAAAAAGTAATCTTTACCATTTAGAATCCTTAGAGCTATTTGGTAATCAAGTTAACATGCATTATATATCAACATCTTAAGGCATGACTTCTGTATATTAAGGGAAAATTCAATAATGAAACTTATTTTTAAACTTTTATTTTGGATTTTGGCTAATATTTCAGGTGGCAAATATTTGTTCATTAATTCACCAGTTTTTTTTTTTTTTTTTAATTGAGGTCCCTCCTATATGTCAACCATTGGGAATTCAAGGATGAATAACACTATTTGGTCTTGCCATTATAAAGCTACTATATCAGGAAGAGAGACCTATTGCTGATTCTAGGACACTCAAGATGTGGTGTAGCAGAGGGATGTGTGGGCAGAGAAGTGTAAGAGGGTACCCTCTGGCCTCACAGGATCTCTCAGGATGTAAGAGCCAAAATTAACTTAATTCATTCACCTATTTCCAAAAAGGTAGCAACTATTTTATAATATATACCTTGTTTCATTATTCCACAAATTTAATTTACCTTGATACCTTTAATGATTTTTTTTGGTCCATGCCTGAGGTTTTATTAGAGCTCTTACTCTGCTTTCTGTGCTCCATTTAGTGTATACACTACCTAGTATAATGCACACACACTATTGGCACTCATTAAATATTTGTTGAACGAATTAATGAATAAGTGAATGAATATTTGCTTCTGGTACCATGGAAGATATAGGAAGAAATTGGAGCTGTTGTCAGCCCTGTCATGAATTAGGTATTACCCTAAGAAAGTGAGTATCACCAGAAGACACTTAGCTGCAACCCCCAGGAAAAGCATTCTCAGGGACCCAGGAATGAGCTATCATGATATGTTTATAGGACTGAAATTGGATCAACAAAATAATTTTGTGTGTAGAGGCTCCTTCCTACTGAGAATAGAGTGAGTGGTTCAGAGAAAAGCCACTTACAGTACCTCAGGCTCAGGTGGGATTTACACATGTCCCTGTTTCTTTCCACAAAATGTAGCCTCAGCAGCCTTGGCCACAGGAGTGAATTAGTTTCAGTCACCATCCCTAGGCCCAGGTAGGAGATCAGACTGGTGTGGTTGTACTACTGGCAAAGATGTTTAGAGGATTAAGATGTTTAGTGGATCTGTACTATTATATCAGTCGTAGTTGGTGGCTAAACAGTTCTACACGTCTTCCGTGTTTGTTTCTCTTTTTCTTGTGAAAACATTTTGGAAACTGTTAGGTAAACCTAGTTTAGTAGTAAGGGAAATTTCTGTTTGTTTTTTTTTTTTATTTCAGCGTATTATGGGGTTGCAAATGTTAAGGTTATGTACATTGCCCTTGCCTCCCCTCCCCTCTTGAGTCAGAGCTTCAAGCATGTTCATCCCCCATATGGTGTGCTTTGCACTCACTATGTAGGTAAATACCCATCCCTTCCTCCCCTCTTCCACATACCTGACACCCCATAAATGTGTTTTTTTTTTACATTTTGGTTACATTTTATATCTTTGTCTTTCCCTAGCAAGGGTTAGAGGTATGCCCTTCCCCTCCACAATGCTCACCACATCCCTCAGATGTGGGACTACTCCTCCAACCTTCGAATACCTGG